GAGGAGGAGGAGGGTCCAAGTGTGTAGGTGGGCATACATTCCGCCATGCCCAAACATATACATGTATATATGTCAGCGGTGGTCGAGAATGATTAGAGAAGGCGTAAGCAGGGATATGGGTTGCGTAAGTACTGAGGAATAGGCAGACGCGGGTCTTTGTCAAACATCTCTCCTATTTGATGACCCGCTCCGGGGTGAGTTGACTGAGCTTGTCTTCGCTAACGGACACTCCCTTGAATGGCGCTTGGAAGGCATCTCAAAGACTTTTGCGAAGCTATCACTTTCACTGATCCATTAGCAGCAGCCAAACCCCTCCGGAAAGGAGTCTCCGGGGAACCTTTATATCCCGCCTGCAGGACAAAGGCTTGTTCCCAGAACCTGCTCCCCTGTCAGAAGCGTGTCAGCTAAAGACCCCGCAGGCGCCCATACAACCCCGCCCAGCCCCTACTCCTGCCTGACCCAAGGCTACGTGCTATCGTGCCTCATGGTGCCCAACAGATATCGCCAACCCAAAGCGTCCCTATGGTTAAGGTGCTCGAAGAGAAAGTGTCATCCACTTCAATGTCGGGCTCTGCATGAAGGGATGCCGGATTGTTAGGCACGTCAAAGCCTCTGGAACGCCCCAGGCTTTACCATCCCAAGTATCCTTTCCAGCACCCTCTGAGACTCTCCGCCCTAATTTCCTCAAGACGCCATCCATCGCCTATATATACCCCCCCCCTCCCGGGACCCCTAACCAGTCAAACCTAACAGGTCAAATGATCAAGCCAATACCCCACCGTCGGCACCGCTCTAGATCTCGCTTCCACTACTACCATCAAGGCTGCAACTGCTGCTGCGGCGGCGAGAACCTCACAAGGGTGATTGTGGCACTACGAAGCTTTCGCCGAATTATTGGAGCGAATTTCGACGCGGATGGTGAGGATCGGATGGATTGGGAACACGACTGCTCACGGGTCGTACTCCGAGAATGGTGGGACTGGCGAGGGCGTGGGGGTGTAGAGGGGGAGGAGGGAGAAAGGATGGACTGGAGGGTGGAGGGAGACTACATGGATTGGGGGGGGGATTGGGGTATTGAGTAGTGATTCTTGGCTTCATATTTTTTCCTTCTCTTGTTTGCGATCGTGGTGGGAAGTGTAAGTACTGGGCTGTTTGAACGGGAACTGGCTAACTGTTACTGTTGACACTGCTTGGACATGAGGAATTATACCGAGTGACCTCTTGTGACTTTCAGCTTGCTCGTTTGTTCCTTGATACATAGTTTATAGTTCATCTAGCCTCTCTCTCTTCAGCGGAATGACACACTAACTGCTGGGTCCTCCCCCTCCCTCTCCTCCCCTCCCTCTTGCACTACTCCCAAGCTTTTGTCTCTCAACGACGTGCCGTCTTGCCAGTAAGTACTCCGCTAACCAACCCCCTTCACAACGCTCACTAACCTCGCGCGGGAGTTCCGGCTCGAGCATATCGCACGCTTGACGTTTCAAAGAGTCGGGCAAGCCCGCCCATCCTTTGTCGAAGGCGGCAAAGCCCATAGCCATATAAACATCTGCCGCGCCTGTGGTTATTAGACAAAGAGTGGCCGGAGGCAATGGGATTTGGGGGATAAGCACGCTCTTGAACCCGTTTCTGCTGAACGAAGCCCTCCAGTCCTATGCTAGCTAGGACACTGCGGGGACGATTCCAATCTTTGTCCTTTGGGCGTGGGACCAGCGCTGGCGGTTGTGGGGCTTCGCTGGACTGAGGTTGTTCTGGAAGGTCAGGATTGGATTGGCTGCTCTCGTCTTGCGATACCTGGACTGTTGGCTCCATGGTATTGCGCCTTGGGATTATCCTTGGATCGGTGGGTCTGCTCAAATATTCGGGGACGCGTCGTGGATCACAGGGGAGCGTAGATCGCAGGGGAGCGTATGGTAAGCACAAATAAAGGTGTCTGGGGGCCTGGGGTGGGCAATTGAGGTAAATGAAGGGTGCTGATAACAGTTATGATGCGAGGCTACCTTAGACCGGCCAGCTTCATCAAGCTTTCCCATACACATAAGTGCATTATATGCCTCTGTGTGCGTGCGTGTGTATGTGTTCAGCTTGGGCCGGACTGGTATCTCCACTGTGCAGGGCGATATATGTGCTCGAGTAGGGCGGGATGCGAGATTGGTTGAGAGGTATTTGGAATGAATGTATGCGGGTATCAGTTTAATGGTAACATTAGCGTAAGACATATGGAGGTCTCCTTATACTGATGACACCCGAGTTTCTTTAGGGAGGCGGTTACGAGAATGTAAGTACAGGTACAATTAGTTACAAAACAAAAGCACAGAAACCTGCAGTGCACCACCCAGGCGGCGAAAAAGAAAAAAGAAAGAAAGAAACACATCCTCCACTTCTCCATCTGTGGTAATATGGATGTCTTGCGCAAATAAAAGGCCTATCCCAGGGGCGAAACATCTATCCCGCGCGGACCAAGGGGTTGATAATAGTAATTGGCTAGAAATGCAATACTGCACGGCAGCCCTACCAACTAACTACGCCGGTCAACCCTCCAGTTCCGCATTAAACATGTCGCAAAAGCCACTTCGCTACCTCAGCTGCAGCCAGCAGCTAACTATCCTCCAGGACTCTATCCAGAGTTCCCGTAGCTTCAATGGGCACGTGGCACGAGTGAGTGTGCGTGGTGCGCCCAGGCTGTGTGTTGCTCTTGCCGGAGATGTAACGGGCTGCATGGCATGTGCCGATGGAGGGGGGGGGCGCTGCCGAAGGCGGTATGCCGTATGCGCTCCTTGAGGTGGAGAATATGCTAGGCCATTTGCGAATCAGAATGCGGGATTTTCAAAGTTTGTGGGGAATTCGGGAATTTGGAAGGGCACGGACTTAATTGAGTGGCAATATGCAGGCTTGTTTGGGTGAGTTTCCTTCCTTTTCTTGTAAAGGTGGGGTTGGTTGGCGGCGTTATGATGCGCGGGAGTGAAGAGCCAAGGGTATTGGAAAGGGGAAGGGACATTGGATGGTTGATTGCGTTATGGATAGGGGGATGTAAAGAAGGTTTGACATGTGAGACATGATTTCCGACTAGCCATACAGTTACCACCGGGAACCGATTGTGGTGCCTGCGGCATATGTAGTTGATTATTATTTATTATTTTTACACCTTTGTCGGGTATCAATATTGTGCCTTGCAAAGAACAGGGTTTGTCGGTAGATGAGTGGGGGCTACCCGAACGTCTTGTTTAAAGGGTATCATGTCGGTTGTGGGGAAGTTTGGGGGGGGGGGGTGCCATATAGTCATGAGGTATCACTCGGGGTCCCCCTTGAGTTTCTTTTTCTCAAATTTAATTGCAATATCATCAGGGCTAACCTTGCATTTTTATCTAGCGGAAGAAAAGGGTTAGGGTGGAGATTAACCCCGGATGCTTTTTGCCTACGGAGAT